GGGGGGAGGCGCTGCTGTCTCTTTTTCACACACTCCGCTTGACGATTGCGCACGTGTTCCACAACTTGGGGGGGAGGGCGCAGCGGTTATTTTTTCAAGTCAAACTCGAGTGGAAGTGACGAAAGGAGGCGCTTGACAGCTGCAGTTTCGGAGGGGTAGGTATCTACAGGCGCGCGCCTCCTCATGCACACAGTACAGAAAAGGTTAGTGGATGGAGGTGTCGTCCAGCACAAGATGACAAATCTAGGTGAGACAAGGCAAGTCACTCCGCTTGACGACTGCGCACGTGTTCCACAACTCGGGGGGAGGGCGCAGCGAATTGAGACAAGGCAAGTCTTGCAGTTTCGGAGGGGTAGGTGTCTACAGGCGCGCTGCCGCTATGGAGCCGAGCCGCGCAACAGCGTGACACCCCCGCGTCATCACGGCAAGTGGGCTGGTGCAGCGTGCTGGGTGGGCGCTGTGTAAGTGGTCCGAGGGGCATAGGCACTCGCAGGCAAGGGTCAAGGGTTAAAAAAGCAAGGTCAGGGGTTAAAAAAGAAAGGTTGGGGGTTAGAAAAAAGTGCTCGGGGGTGAGAAAAAAAGGGTCCGGGGGTTTAAAAAAAGAGGTCGGGGGGGTTAAAAAGAAAAGGTCTGAAGGGTTAAAAACAATTGTTTTGAAGGGGGTTAAAAAAAGGGTCGGGGGGTTAAAAAAAAGTGGTGGGTTAAAAAAAGAGGTTGGGGTGTTAAAAAAAAAGGGGAGCCCACATCCTTTGTCGAGTGGAGTGCGGACGTGCCGGCGAGTAGTCGCGTCCACAAACTGTGCTGCCTTGCTCGTTCACGAGCTGTCCCCTCAAAGTTGATGGTTGATCCTTGTTTCAAGTCTTTCTTTTGTCCCCTCATGCTTGCAATCCCCACAAAACCATCAATTTCGAAGTTGTGGTTTTCGGTTGGAATGTGTTGCAATCATCTCAAATGTCCACCCAAGCAAACCTGATCTGCTTCCACCTGCCATCTCGCTGTAGATAGCTGATGCTGGAGTCTCTAAGTTCACTGAAACCAGGGTTGATGGTCAAGTGATGGTGCATGACTCTCACCCCGCCCCCCCAAAAAAAACAACAAACACACATACGCACACACACACACACACATGTATACCATCTGAAATTTCCAAGCTCGTACCCCATCCACCCCCCAAACCAAAAACTGTTCGGGCCTTGGCATTGTCTTCCACCTCGCGGCCAATGGTATCGCCCTCGGCGATAGCGCGGGTGACCTGACGCAAAGGGTGTAGGCCGGACTGCTGGGAAAGGAACATAACCATAAAAACATGTCACCTGGTGCAGGAAGTGCGCTGTAATTGGGATAGATGTTGAAGGTGCAAAGTATATTTACACCATGACAAGCCTCCAGAAGAAGTTGGAGGACATCCACAATATAATCAGAATAAATATACAGTATACATCCATTGGCCGGGGGGGAGGGTGCAAGCACTCGGAAGGCACACTTGAAGGTGCAGCTTCAGGTGTCAGAACTCCGATTTCCAAAGTGCTGTTGCCAACTCATGCTGGGCTACCCTCCTTCCGCACAATGCCGAATGCTCCACAATAAGGTTTCTAGGCGTTTTGCGGCCTACGCCACACCTATTCACGCCAGTCCGGCGACTTCTATAGGCGTTTGGTTCATCGTTTCACCGAAGCTGCTGCGTGAGTGCATCTTCCCTTGCCTCCAGCTCCTGAAGCAGTTTCTCCACCCTCTCGACAACCTCCACAGGCGTATACCTGGCAAACGATCCCCGCTTAAGCTGTGTTCGTTTTGCTTTTTGAGGAGCTGACTCCGGCAGTTGGTGCTGAAACAAAATTGGACTTTTAGATAAACAATCAATTATACACAATATTAAAACATATATATTTTGAACAAGTCTATTTGGATATCCCCCCTCAAGTGGTTTGAGATTTCATAGCTCAGGGCTCCTGAAAGTGTTGATAGAGGAATTCAGTCTTCCTTTCGGGGCCATGTTCCACTTCCATGTTTGTTGGATGGAGGGTACTACAAATGAAGTGTGTTCATCTCTCACTTAACGCCATCATCCCTGGTTGGTGCCGCGGGGTGGTCCACCGCGGCCTGTCATCGGCGCTGCTGCCGTCCTCCGTATGGATGCGCTGCCGCGAGCGGTCCAGGAGCCTGCAAAGGCGGTCTACCGGCCGGTTAGTCCGGAACTCGTGCGTTGGTGCGGAAACTGCATGGTGGCTGCTATATGTATATATATATATAGGCATAGTAGTCATACTAATAGTCAGGATTTGAGGTCTCTTGTATAAATTGAAGTGTCCTCAATCCCTTCCATATATATATATATATATAGTCATATCTAATAAATCATAGTATGTGTGCTGCAGTACTCTGTCTCAACAAGGCATCTGAGGGAATCAACAGCTCACTGAGCAAGATCATGCAAAGGAACATTTCTATTCGGGGGGGTGGATAGGTTTATCAGTTATGTGATATGTGATGGAGCTGTTCTTTGATTCGCTGCCCTCAAGTGCCTATGTGTGCCACAAATCCTGAAGTTGATGCCAGCCAAACATATCAACTGAATCGTATGAAATGTTCACCTTGAGTTTCTGGATTTAAAACTGCAGACTGCAGGGCTCAGCCTTCACAACAGGTTTACCACTTCAGGCTCCTGGTCAACTCATGACGAAGCAAGGAAACACATGGCGTCCATGGCTTTCCCTTCCTCACGAGTGCCTTCGAATTGCCTTTATTGCATCCAAAAGCCTCTTGGCTCCTGCCTGCTACAAACACAGATATCAAACAAAACACCTCTCTCTCTCTCCCTCCCTCCCTCTCCCTCCCCCAAACTTCAACGCCCCACGCGCCCGATAAATACCCCGCCAAAAAAAACACCCCATCAACAGCCGCGCCAAATCAACACCCCGCCCAACAAAAGACATCGGGCCTCGTAATGTTGATGGGGATGTGCTGTTTCACATCACCATCCGGAAAGACCTGCCGCCATTGCCGTTCGATGCACCGGCGCCGTTCGTTCGAAGCAAAAACGGCGAACTCGGCGGGCGTGAAAGCAGCTTCGCCGCTTCGACCCCAAAGAGTGAGTGCTGTAGGTATGTATGTAGGTATGTATGTAGGTATGTATGTATGTATGTATGTATGTATGTATGTGTGTGTGTGTTACCGAGCCCTGAGGCTTGGTAAAGCAACGGCGCAAGACAGATTTTGTATATGATGTCTTCTTGTTGTGTTTTTTGTTGTTCCGGATTTTTCGCGATACTCGCCTTCTGGAGACCCCAGAAAACACCGTGCAACGCACGCGTGGGGTCCCAGTCGAATAGAGCCATGTCTACGTCTTTCGTCTCACCGACCGGAGGCTGTGTTTCGTAGCGCCATGTGTTTGGCGCCGCACAGGTCGCGTTGATGGTTCCATCAACGGAAGAACGCACCGATGGTGGGGACCGTCTACGCAGCACATCGTTGTTTCGTTCCATTTGAAGGGCACGAAACCTGAGCTCACTATAGAGACCTGGGCGCAACAGCCTAAGATTAGCCGATCAGATCTGCAAGGTGTTACCGCCACACGGTCACTCTCCCGTGCTCGCACGGACAGTCAGCACGTGCCAGTCGCCCAATGTCGACCCAACAAGCGTTGCACTAGTCAGAGACTACATATAATGACCCCATGATGACCCCTTGATGAATGATGATTTTATGATGACCCCCATGATGAGGGAAAGTAGGGAATGGATGGGAATGGTATGATATTCTGCATATATGTTCCCCCAACTTTCCAGTATTTGTCCCTCTTAGGAAACCACAAAAAGCGCTGGTTCCAAGACCTCGTCACAATCTTTTTGTCCACCTTCGAGGTACCTACAACAGAAGGACACATTTGTCCGGGCGCATGACCTCTCAGCAAGTTCACCCCTCAGGCCCCTCAGGCCCTCTGACCTGCCGTGCTCTTCCCTGCCCAGCCAATCCCTCCAAAGGTTCTACTTTACTTTGGATGGTTGATCTTCAAAACAGGGAGCCCAAAACGGTCGCACGACTTGCGATGTAATCAAAACCCAAAATGGTGCGAGCACCTGCCACGCCGCAACGCCCGAAAACTGCCTCTTTCTCTCGTGACATCGCAACATGGGGGAGTTGTGCAATTTGTGAAGATCCCAGGGTAAACAACATCAAAATAACAGTGCGAGCGCGAATTCTGAAGTAGGGCCCAATCGAAAATGGCAGTGCAGGCGGTAGTTAGTATCGGTCCTTGATTCAAGCAGCAGTGTATAATCCAGGACTTGGATTGAACCCGCTCAATGCTCCCTTGTCCCAAGGCCCGCGCCCCTCCGAGCCTCTTTACAGATTTGGTCCTTGGTTTCCTTCAGCCTCTGCCACCTCAATGACATGGTGGCATCCTCGGCCTCTGCCTCCCTACTTTGATCGACAGAACATGAATCTGACCAGTTTGAAACAGTCGAGGACACGATCATCCAACAGGGAAATAAACAACAAAATCACATCAACATCAAACACTAATGTCTGGGAACAAATCTTCCGGTACCCAAGCAGGTCAGCGGGCTTCCAAGAGGCTCTAAGACTCACCTTTGACTCTGAGTGGTTGAATCATGTTCTACCTGCCAGGTGAGGAAAACTATGATCAACACTCCTGAGATGGCGATCCAGCAGGTCTACGTCGGTACTACCAGGCTCTTGTCGACCTCCCTTCTGCAGCTGTTGGTCCAAGGAAGCGGAAGCAAGCTGACATCAAAAAAAAACATATTGTTGCTCCAGTTGTTGGCGACCAAGTTGATGCACATGTTGGGCTGTTTGCTGGTATGGTATCGTATTGGATGGTATTGGCATTATTGGTATGTTCTGAATCTTATGAAGCTTGCATTCGGGCTCCTCCCTGCGAGCATTTAGCATGCAGGATTTGCATGCAGGATGGACTTTGTCTCGAAATGTCAACCCCAAGCAAACTTAGGAAATAAGACTACGTCCACCAAGCTCAAAGTAGAGAGAGATATTATGGCGCAAACCTCATTGATTATATAACCAATGGCGACTCCTGATCTACGTAAAGTGTTCTAATGGTCACCCGATTCTATTCACGTCATCCTTCTTACTAAGCTTCTTATGTCCAAATCAACACACATCTTAAGGGTCCAAAGGCCTTCCTTCCTCCATCACCACTCCAGTCACCGCTTTGATCTAAAGGCTCCCGGACTCGTCGTCCAGGACCTTCTGAAGCCCCACATCCTCCTGACCAACGCAGGCTGCGCTGGCTGCGGCCAGTGCGCTGTTCCGTCCAATGTCATTGTGGAGGCGAAGGGCACATGAACGCTGCTTCCAGCAAAGATGAGAAGTTCAGTGAGTCTACCAGGTCTACCACCCGCCATGATGAAGCAAAACACACACAAACAACCACTTCCCACTTCCCCCTCAAAAAAGCACCAACCACTTCCCACTGTCCCACTTCCCCGGCCTGCAACTTAGCCCCCCTCTCCCTTCTTGGCCCTCAAGAAGCCCTGCCTGGATCTTGCGGACGACCTCTGGGGCCAGCCAATCCAGGCCATAGTCCGGCTCCCGGTACTTGTGCCTCATCCCACCGGACGCACCGGGGCGCCCACGCGTCGCGGAGGGGAAGACGCACTGGGGCGCAGGGGGGTTCAAATGCCGTTGGCACGACGAGGCGGAGGATTTTTAATGGATTTTTGGGGGAAAGGCGGAGGTCGGTTGGACAGAATCCTTGATTTGGGGGGAGGATGGACTGGATGGATCTCTTCCTGAATGGGATCTATTCCCTCAAAGCGGATTGCGTTTAAGGATGCTTAGGGTTGCTAGGAAGCAATTAAAAGGCTTGTTTCGCGCTGCTCAGAACATCAGTACTTCGTCTTGTTGCCCAAACACTTGGTTGGGCCCGCCATCAGCAAGGCAACGGTTGGCGGTTGGCGAAGTCTGCGACGTTGGACTCTTGATCGTATGATTGATTCAGGATATCCCTTGATCATGTTGGATGTCCCCGTGGTACTCAACAAAGACTTGAGCATCAAAACAATGACAGGCCATCATAAAGTGAACATGTATATATTATATATATACACAGTACTTGCAAAATCAGGTCAACCAGTGGATGAAGGTTGGCACCAGCTCCACAAAAATCTTGCTTGTACGATCAATGAGCAAACTATGGCGAAATATGGCAAACATGATGACAAGGAATGGATGACTAGGATCATCCCATGTAGTTCACAGCTCCAAATCCTCTCCCACGGACAATGAAACTCAAACTGTTCCTGAACAAGCTGAGTGGGATGATTGGAAACCGGCAAGAAAACTTGTCCACCATCCTAGTCGTTCATCAATGACCGCGGTACGAGATCTTTCAATTCCCAGCCACCATCCTCACAATGACACTCTCAGTCAATGAGGAAAAAAACGATTTCACTCAGCTTCTCACCCCATGTCTGACTCGTCCCCTGAACAGCACGTCATCCTACTTCGGCCATCCGGACTGGAAGGAACTCTCCAACTTCTTGTGATCGTAAGTCATGATGTCCAACGTCTGGTCCTTGACCAAGTGAGGTTGTATAAAAACCCCCTATCCTTTTGCCTTACCACTTTTGGCGTTATCGGTTTTTTTTCTTCCTTATCGTTTTACAGTACTTTGACTAACTGCAACATATGTAACATATGTAGTATACATGTGTGTGTGCACTGCGTGCATGTGGTGTGGAACCTGCAGACATGAAGACATTAGGTACAATTCCCCATGCTGGAGTCCATGCTAGAGTCCCCAGACAGAAGATCTTATTGCTGTCCATGGCGTTCATATGTGGTGGCCTACCTACACAAAGGTCTTTTAGGCTCGCTGCGTTATCGTTTTTGTTATCGTTTTGGTGCCTGGTGCAACTTGGATTTTTTTAAAGATTCTGCCCTAAAGAACGGGAGATGGTTCACACTCTGTTTGTCGAGCAGGGACTGTTCTTTCGGAGGCCCAGCAAACACTCCTTGTTGCTCCCTCTGTGAGGACATAGGCCCTAAAACCACAAATAGAAACATGCCAAGGGATTTCCACAACAATCATCGGGGGTTATCGTTTTTTTTTCTTCCTTATCGTTTTACAGTGGTTTACAGATGCTCCAAGATAAACGGACATGCGAATACTAATTCCCTGGGTGGGGGGTTTTTATAATCTCTCAAGTGCACTTCTGGGTGCAAAAGAGATTGGAATTTGAAGCAATCAAAGTCAAAGGAAACTCAGGAAACTTAGATCACACCCAAGTGACTCGTCACAAGCACGATGATCAAATTATGGTAAACAAAGCTGCTTCTCTATGGGCCATCCAATCCATGTTTTACCTGTACACCCTTGAAGTGCCTGTCTTGGGGCCTCTGCATCAAACAGAGCGTCCCCTCTCCGCAAATGCAGAATAAGTAGTTCTCACTTAGTTGAAGCATGTTTAAGTTTAGATCCAAATCGCTGCATCTCATGGTATGACAGAAAAAGCCTTCAGCAATTTACAGACTGTCCTCAATCCACAGGCCATCCATGCCATCCTCGCCATAAAGGAACTGGATGATGTCCTCGGCACAGAACTCAATCTGCGGGACCACGGCAAGGAGGGCAGGTGATGGCAAGTGGGTAGTTCGTTGGCTGGTTGCTTCACCGTGAGTCCTTGAAAAGAGAACAAAAACACCATGCCCACTAGAGGTGCGACAGAAAGATGAACATATTGATATAATATATATATATATACACAATATTATATATATATATATTAACATGCTTTGACACCCTCGAACCCACCTCACAGTCAGAAGCAAAGCTTAAAAATATCTAGGATAGTCGGTTTTGTACCATAAAGGTTCTTGGGTTTTCACAGATATTACTTGTATTAATCATTAATCTTCATCATTCTCTTCCGGTGTCCATAGCTGTTTCTGTCAGACTAGTTGTCCAAACCTTGGGCCGCTAAAGCTAAGCTACAAAAGCCAAGACTTTCTGAAAACTAAGCTACAAAATGGAGAGGTCCAACGGGAAAAAACCGGGTCACGCTACAAAATGACAGGGTTCAAAAGTAATAGCGCCGAAAACCATTTGTATCAGTTGTTGTTTAAGGACAAAGAATTGGTTCCTTTGCACGCTCCGTCAACGCAAAAACTGATCATGATGATGACAGTCATTTTGTACTCTAGCAGCCCAACAGCCCCTTACAAAATGTCGATCTCGAAAGCTTAGTCCTATTCAGTATAATCCGACAGCCCTTACAAAATCTAAGTCTGACAAGCTCTGATTCAATATAAGTCCAATCCATGTCCAATCCCTTTGGACCTACAAAATGCAAATCCTGCTACCTCAGTGATTCCAATGATATTGAAATCCTGGATCCTTACAACATGATGGATGATCTAAAATGGATCCTAGGATACCCCATGCTGTAAGGATACCCCATATTGTAAAGAATAAGTTTCAACCCGAGATTCATACCGGGATCATCCAAGGGGTGTCCAATGGACTACACTACTTAGCGATCTCCATTGGACACCCATTGGCCCATTGGATGGAGCAGGTATATAAATATAGACTTGAAGTAAACAATCTAAAAACTCAACTGCTAGGTATGTAGACCAATTGCCAATAGAGACTTGAACTTAAAGCTCAACTGCTAGGTGTCTCCACTCCCTTTTCAGGCTTCGACACTCCCTTTTGCCAGGCGCATCTGGAATGACCGCGGCAGCTGGGGCCGCCCACGTTGCAGGCATTGCGTGCCGTGCCGTCATAGGCCACCCTAGTGAGGCGGGTTCCGTATGTGGTACCGTCAGACTGGGAGTCTCTCTGAAGGCATAGATGGACCCCAAATAGATGGAAAAGTAGATCCCCACTACAGATGTATTGGAAACCATTTCTGTCTACAGTATTTGGATCTATTTGGGGGCCACTATACACCAAGGCATGAAGCACATCATGACTGGAGCTGTTTGCATGGAGAGACCCAGAGCTACATGTCCCGCTTTTTTTGACCGGAATCTAACTCATCCCTGGAATGATTCCATGTGTGTTCTTTGTGGTTTGTGCAGCACGTCCCACTACCGACAGAAACCAAAGAGGCAAACAAAGCGTCCAAACAATGCTTCTCCACATGACCAAAGCGTCTTCCATCTGTCAAGACTCCTGCTACAACTTCATGTCACCACGTCGCATTTGGGAACTCCCATCGCTTGCCAACAATGATTGGGCGACTTAGGACTCAGCTTGGCAGGCCAAGATTGCTCTCTTGTTCATACTTCATTTTCTGGTGGGCATCGGTTTGGGGGGAACTCACATCAAATAGCTGCCAAGGGTTTGCTATTGAAAACAGGTCTGCGCATGTGACTTTTGATGGTTGCACAAATGAGCAATGCTGAACGATGTAGTTGAACACACACACACACACATGAAAGCTATCATTGGACTGTGAGTATGCCTTGGTCGACTTGCCAACAGCCCCATGAGGCCACAAGCGCAATGGCCATAATGATCTACAGTCTATCTGGCCAAACAGTCTATGGCCATAATGATCTATAGAATAGGGCAATGGCCAAAAACAGTCGAGCTGGACACATTTGTTGGACCAAGCTGCTTGAGGGTCTCCATGGACTTCACCAACCGCCGCTGGATGTACCTAAAACCATGCTACCGCGGTAGACCCGAGCAACAAACCGACCAGGGTACCTATTGTCACCGGCAGGCTACCCGGTCAAGGCGGCCGTGTGCCACTGAAGCAACCTCTGAGTTGCTCCCCTGCAGATGAACGTGGAAACCCAAAACCACTGGTTGGTAGAGGAAAACAATCTTCCAAGCAGCCATTGTTAGTGTCCATATGATTTTCGTGAGTGGAAGTCTTCCGAAAAAGAAGTGGATGTGACAGTGGCACCGGACCCAAGTTCGGCATCCCAAGAGCTGGAAAATTGCTGAGTTGGTGTTCGATGTTCAAAGCATGGCAACCTACCAAAGGCCAACAGGCAAAGCCAATTTCGTAGCCCCCCCCGCAGCATGCACATGCCACTTGCACGAGACAATACAAGAAGTGATATACCTTCATGTAGGATATATTGCCATTCCCAGCCAGCCAAAAGTCCAACAAAACGTAAAAAATAGAACAAGGGGTAACAAGGGATCACAAGGGGTAAGACATGGTAAAACTCACCTCCCCTGCTACCCTGCTACCGACTCAAAGGACTTCCCACTACGACTTCCCACATACATTTATTTAAAAAAAAAAAAAAAAACATGTATGTGGGTTGACTCGTGGGTAATGGCACCAGACCTGCCAGCTAATGTTTATTCATTACTAACTTCGTCTCCAACGCACCCGGTCTCCGAGGTCTTGCAGGCGGTGTCAATGACTCCCTCTCTGCCGCCCATGGCGTGCATCCAGACCTGCCAGACCGCCGTGGCACCGACGATGGGAAACCGGTCATGGCACCAGGGCACCCTGGTTGAACACCGGAAAAACCCAGCGAATAGACGTGGCTCCAGGGTGAACGGTCAACATATACCGGGTGAAACTGGCTCAATATATGACTCCCGGAGTCCTATGATACATCGTACGACACCCTCGTTCTGAGAAGCAACTTTGACTGTCACCAAAAAGTTGCAAAGCAACGCGTCTTCACAAAAAAAAACTCATATCATATCCATGTCCTCTCCCAAGTCGGACCAGAAAGACCTTCATAGCCCTTCTCCTCTCCATCGCCGCACCTCTTGAGGCGTGAGCCCGGCCAAGTAGCTGTTTTCCACGAAGCCCCGGGCTTCGGCGCCGTAGTCATCCTGGGTGGCCGGCGTGGGGTTTGACAAAGAGCTGGGCATAGCTGGGCAGTGAGACATGTGGGAGCTGGGATTTTGGAAGAACTTGGATCTTCCAAACATTGCCGGCATCAATTCGCTCCCTGCCCCTCCACTGAGCTCCTTCTTGCCATGGTGTGTTTTTTCATTGGGGCCCATTCGTAGAGGGGTGAGGGATCAAAAATAAAAAGATCAGCACCCAAAAATATTCAAGAGGGATCAATAAGAGAAAGGGAACAGGATTAAAAGAAACACTGCGAAGAAAAGAGAATGGGGAAAGGACAGTGGTAGTAACAGTAGCAGCAGCAGCAGCAGCAGTGGTGGTGGTGGTGGTGGTGGTAGGGAGTAGGAGTAGGGGTATGGCACAGCGCTTCCTGCTAAGCGAAGGTTTCTGGCTGTCACGCTAGGCGAAGGTGGGCCTTATCATCCACCTTTGTGGCAGCGTCAACGCAAAGAACATAGTAGTTGTGGTGCCTGTTGGCTCATAGTGGGGCGGTCGGGGTGATTGAGGCACTGGTAATAGCAGGGGTGTTGGGAATATTAAAAAAAGTGGGACGGGGTGCGGGGGAGGGCGCAACCACGGCTAAGCAAAGGTGGGCCTTATCATCCACCTTTGTGGTACTGTCAATGCAAAGAAGATAGTAGTTGTGGTATCTGTGGTAAGGTACAGTAGTGGGGTCGTCGGAGTGTTGGATGCACTGGTTGTATCAGGGGTAGTGGCAACATGTGGCAACTATTTAAGAAGCGGGAGGGGGTGCAGGGGAGGGCACAGTGCCTCCCCCGCAATACTGGGAAGCTATCTCTCTACTAGGGAGCTACCAAGACTGAAGGACCATAAGACCAGCGGACTAGGAGACCAAGGGACTAGGTCTAGGTGCCCACTGGACCAAGGGACCGAAGGAGCAGGGGACCAGCGGAGTAGGAGAGCGAGACCGAAGGACCACGGGACCAGCGGACCAAAGGACCAGGGCACCTAGTCAGGATTTGTTTCTTTGTTACTGTTACTTTTTTCTGTTTGATCCTGATCTTCTATTCTTGATCCTGATGCCCCCATTCGTTCCCTCGAAGACCAAACCCATAGGTCTCGCTATGTCTCACACCGCACCAAACCCGCGATCCGGGTCCTTGGTGAAGTGAGGCAACGTCCGGTCGTTGAAGCCATACCTGCCGACGACACGACGGTTTGAAGGGCACGTCCGTCCGTCCGGACACGGACGGAACTTCCAAACGGATCGAGTGTCTACGTATTGCGTTGCCAATCAGTTGGTGGTTGATGGTGGTTGAACACAGGGTCAATGTAGGCATTTTTACCACACATGGAGTGCCTGGAGTAGATCATTGTAGAGAGTCACACAGTCATATCTACGATGTCACCCATCAAAACGGGGTGCCAAGCTTTTTCCCTTGTATTTTTGTGGAGCAAGTGCTCACGTTCTCTTCTTCTGCCTCACCTCGTTGAGTTTACTCCACAAACACGCCACCTGCAAATACTGCTCATGCCAAAGTGCCACAGCTAAAGGAACAGGCGATCCTGCAGCACTTTGGCGCCGGCCAGCCTGATGCGTGCGCCCTCCACGTTCTGCTGACCCACACACGCGACAATTTGGGCGATGTTCAACGGCGACCTGAGCAGCGAGGCATGTGAAGGGGCGAAAGCGTGGGATCTGCCAGCGCAAACGCAGAATCCAGGAACTGATTTGGGGCTGGGCAACGCACTTCTAGGACTTTGACGCTTGGCCACTCGTGCCGGGCTCCCGCGCCCTTTCGAGCCAGCATTCACCTGTGCCGTCGGATCACGTCGCGATGGCACCGAACGAACTCAGGTGGAGTGGAGTGCGCCAATTCCGGGGGTCAAACGTCAGATTGGCTGTGGTTTCCGAACGTCGTGAAAACGCTTGTGTTTAAAACCAGGCACGGAAGTGCGGTGTTTTCTTTTTTCCAGGATGCCATTCCGTTGATGTCAGGAATTATCATAGCTGCGCACGGGGGTGTAGCGAGATGTAGTGAGTATACAGTATACAGATACACGTACTTAGTCCCCGTGGTAGTGACCTTGTGTGCTTTCCTCAAACAATTCTAATCTACCGTCTCCGAACTCCATCGAAAAGTGGCTCCTTTTCCCTCGCTTGTCTTCCAGCATCTCCAGCTACGAAACAATCCCTCAGGAGGGCCGTTGAGCATTGTTGAGCCCTGAGGCCTTAAAAGTTCTGAGGTCCTGTGTCTTCCACCAACCTTAAAAGGACCTCAAAACTGGACCTCAGAACCTCAGGGACCTTAAAAGTTCGAACTGCTTTGCTTCATCCTCCGCCAACCTCAGCCCGCTCCCACCTCCACCGTGCTCCACCTCCCAAACACCCCCGTGCGGCGCGCCATGGAGATGATGTTGTTCCGCTCGTCGAGGGAGCTGCCTCCGATGTTGCCGGCATCCTGAACGGATGAAGAAGGAGGATGGAGTCCAGGATGGAGGATGGATTTGGCGGCCAGCCGCGGCCTGCCTCCATTTGGATGGGTGTTGGTGGAGTTGAACATGTTTTTGATGTTTTATGCTGACAAGTATTGACATATATGTGTGCACAATGTGTTTCTATATTATGGAAATTAAACTGTTACAATCGTCTAACACTTAAAACATACTAAAAAGGTCTCTGTCTGAGGCCCTTTGGCTCTGTGGGCCAAAGAGTTCAGAGCTCCAAAGCTCCGAGTTAGGCTTTCCATCCAATCATATCCAATCAGTGCGTGAGCTGGCAAAACCAGAAAACAGCACTTCCGCAAATTCCACCCTTGGCTTCGGGTCGAAGTTCGACCAATTACATGCACCACCCAGCTTCTATTTGTTGGTTGATAGACCCTTCCACCGTCCGAACTGGGTGGTTCTTGGAGTGTTCCATTATGTTCCTTTTGGGACTACACCATCCGGCTGCTAGGACGAACAGCGAGGATGCTGTGGTCCCATGTGGCCAAGGGAAGGTACAGCAACTTAGATCATTGTGCAAGGTTTTAGAGATGATATAATATACCAAGATTTGGCCAACAAAAGGATCCCATATTGACCCCATGGTTCTTTCATGTTCTTTCATGCTCTTTCTCGTATTGTCGTTCTTCATCCTGTTGCCTCGTGACTGGCACGGTGCCGGAAAAAGAAAAAACCACATGCGCACTACACACGCGCCTCGCGCGCGGCGTTGAGGCGCTGGTTCACCCGCGCTTCAAAGGACTGGTACCTGCCGATGGGTCACGCAGCGGAGTGGACCGTCATGGGGCTCAGGGGTGAGGACTGAGGCCCGAACGGCAGCGCACATGAGATTAACATAGGCCACTGCACGGCTTATATAGACCTATAATAAGGCCTAATAATACTCTGGCATCTTTGGGGAAGGCGGAGCCGAAACCTCGTGGTTTGAGGGCTCAAAGGTTTTTCCGAAAGAGCACGATTCTTGAGCCCCACCCTTTAGAAAGCTTCCCTCTTGCAAGAGTGCCACTTTGAAAAGAAACATAGTGTATACTTGATACACCAACAAGCACCGATCTATTGAACATTTAGCCAGGCTCTGGAGCCGAATCCAATCCCCACAGCTCCCAGCTAGAATCTCTCCAAGCAGTCCAGCCCGTGGGGGAACCCCCCGCTGCGGCACATGGTCTTGCCGGGTTGTGTCTCCAGCTTCCCGCGCTGGGCGTCGGCCAGGATGTTGCGCACCTCATTCTTCGCCTTGGGGCCGGGTAGAAAGGCACGGGGCATAGCTGGTTCAAGGCGCGTCATTTGTTCCCAACATCCTTTGTGGGTGAGGATCCGCTTGTAGACATCCGCTGGGCCTGGAACTGTCGCCATGAATGTGGCTTTAGTGTTTGCAGTTGGAGTACTAGAAAAGCTTATTAAAGAAAAACAACACACAAATACACAACACATCACAAGTTATGGCCGGGGCCTGCCTAAGCTCCGCAAGCTCCGCAAACAAGCACAACCCTGATGTTTGATGAATGGACATTGCACACACCAAATGACGTATCCTGGCCACAATAAACCGGTCTTGACTCGGTCTTGACAAAGCCTTTGTCAAACCCCGCAAAAATTGGGAGTCATCTTCTCTGTCCTGGGGTCGTATGAACGTGGCCTGCTTTAAGGTCTTCTCCACGTTCAACAACGTCTGGTCGTTGGCAATAATGTCTGCCACACCACAGGAGAACCTCGGCTCACTGCCGGTCGGACACCGGGCTGAAGGGCGAGGCGAGCTTCGGAGAAGGTGGACTGGGTGGACCGGGGTTCTGAAATGGAGAACCTCCAATCGTTCGACCCGGTGGTTGTTGGATGAAGATGCAGAAGTCGCAAAGGGTCATAAAGGGTCAAAGGGTGGCAATTGATCCTCTCAACCAATGGGTGTTGCATGGTTTTGCGCTTTGCTTCCCCCAGGATCAGCGTGAGGGGACCAAATCTTCAAACAGCTTCCCAATCTTTTAGAAGTGCCAGGACATCCCAAAGGCAGCATGAACAGCAATCTCATTGAAGTTATATGAATCAAAATTGTGCCAAGGAGTCACAAAAGGGGTCGATCAAGTGCGCCATGTCAACAATATGCCTGACGAATTATATATTATGATGCCAAAACAACAATGTTGATGTAACTGAAGAACAAACTAAACACACATGAACTCATATGACTGTCTTCAGGTGGTTCAATTCAAACGCATCTCAACTGTACAGTTTCACATAGTTTCACCAATCCACCATTTCGAAGAAGAGACTGCTTGGGACACGGAACCCATTGTGGGTCAGCCACTGGTTCACCATCTTCTGGATGTACGACAACACCTCGCGGCGAGCTTGATGGGCCGATGCTTCGGATGGAGCGGACGAGTCTGAGGCCTCGACCGACGAGTCTGAGGACCGTAGAGGTAAGGTCGGTCATCAGCGAGTCGAGGTGGGATCGTAGAGGTGCGTCAGTGACTTGCATCAATGTCAGGCAAGGATTCAACCAACGAAAACAAAAATAACTTCAAGTTAACATTATCTGTGGACAAGTCCTCAATATCCTGGGCTACTGATTCTACAGATATTGAATCCCGGAGCAGGTTGGATACCCTGGATCCAATAGCCAGTGGATCCTGGGTACCCATTGGGTACCCAACCGACCGTGCTTGATCCAATGATGGTTTGGTTGTCCTTTCAATATGAACAAATCCCTGAGACGTCCAAGGCCCAAACACGTGACATGCAGAAACATGAAAACACATTTTGGCCCAACGATGTCGTAGTACCTAACCTGAGAGCTCCAGACGCTCGCCCCGTGTATGCCATATTTGCCGATCAGGCGGGGGACAATGTACATTTACCCATGGATTGTCTGCGGCGACATCACAAGAATGTCAACTAAGTCTGGTGGTTTCCAACCACTGCTACACTGTGACTGAGCGAATAAATCACTTCTGCACTTGAAGGAAAACTGGTTGTCCTTACACCAAGCTCGGTACTGAACCGATGTCCCATTGACGAGGCGAAGGCAGCACCCTCTGAAACAAGCAACTGGCCATGTCCTGCAACGGGTCATTTACATGAAACTCGACATGGTATTACCAACATGTACCCCATCTACTATAGGGCCCCTTTCCGGCTGGAGGGGGCGTCCATAAATGAACACATGTCTCATGCCAATGTCCATGCCAAAACAAAGCACGCTCCCAGACCCGGGAGCTCCGGCATTGCGACACCACTCTGGGCCACTGTCGAGCCAAACCTCGGAGGCCACGCCGTTCGAATCGAACGCCGAGCGGCGCGCCGCTCGCTCGGCGCGCCACATGTGACACGCACAGTCTGCTAATTAAGCATGGCAGCCTCAGAACTTGGACCTCTGGAGTGGAGAACTCTGTGCGATCTGGCGGAAAGTCGGAGTCCACTCTATCGAGTGAAGTTGACACGATCGATCCGTCCAGGATCGATCCGTCCGGGATCCCAAGAGGTCAACCCAACTGAGGCCGCCGCTAAGTGGAGCAAGGAGCCACTGGAAGATCCGATCTGCGCAAGTTGGAAGAATTCTGGATGATGAGGTCAGGCAAGCGGAAAATACATTGAAAATACATGGGGTTAGTGATGAATGGGGAGATGTAGAATGTTGCAACACCTCAAGATAGCACGTATTTGACGATGTCCAACAAGTCGATCCGGCACCAAAAGAAACGATGGTCTTGCAACACCTGACCAGACCTACGATTGGTCAACTCCACTGACCGCGCGGTGTCCGGATCGCGGTTCCTCCACCGAATCGGTGTCGCGCGAACCGTCACGTCGGGTGTCGCGCGCCGTCTTCTTGCAAATGATTCCGCTTAAGAGCTCGCCATTCACGATGAGCACCTGTCAGCATCAGCATCGGCGGGAGCGGGATGAACACCAGTTCGAGAAGTGGTGGGAAGTGGAGCAAAGAATCTAAGAAGGGAGAGATGGAAAACGTATATATAATGAAAACATGAGTATCTTATCTGAAGGTGAAGATGATGCACCTGTCATGCCAATAACAAAGCTGAGAATCTCCGATGTTCGGTCTTCCAGCCAAAACACACTGTCCACTGCTATAGCGGGTCCTGGAACATGGGTGTGTTCAATGGATCTTCGGGGTCTTCAGCTCAGCGGCATGGGCCACATCGAACAAGCTCCCTCACTTCAATTGTGCTGAAATCCGTGATTGTCCGCCCCGATGTTCCAGTTTTCGCTGAGTGGTCACAAATCCGAGTTGGTGCCCGCAGCAAGGTCGACCGCTCGTCCCCAAGTCCGAGTTTGCTTCACCAGGGAGACGAGTTGGAACATGTGGAGACCTGAGTCCCGTGGGGAGGGGTTCCAGGAAGGCCATGCCAGGCTCTCCGGCGACAAACACCACGCAGTCCAACTCTAAGCCTTTGGGTGCCCCAAAAAAATCAGAGCAAACCTGAACATGTTAGATTCACCCCTGAAACCGCATATTCCTGAAGTGAGAGATTGCTCCAAATTGGTCAGCCCCACTTCTTTCAGAACACAAATTTACAATTTTTCGATATCTTTCAAACACTTACAGTACATGTGTTTGGTTGCACATTTCGTTTGTTGGAACCACCAAACCATCGTGGGAAGTCGATCTGTCTCTGCGTCTCATCCCACGGTCGACCGCGCGACGAAACGCCTTGCAATCGGAGGCCGCAAAGTCCGGTTCGTCCTTCTTGTTCTTCGTCGCGATGGCCGCATCCCGCTGAGAGAGCGAAAGGCGATGGCTGAGGTCAAAGCGGTGGGTGGGTGGTCAATTGTTGCGCGGTGGGAGCGGATGAACGAGACATATCGACTGTATAGTTGATGAATGCTGCACCGGACTTTAAGATCCTGAATCATGCAGTACAATACAACAAAATAAATACTAGAAATATTCTGATGGACTGCTCTGAGCAAATCATGTGGAAAACAAGGAACAGTGTGGGAGAGCAAGGGCTTCGTCTAGTTATATAGGCGATTGCATGAGTCACTTCTGGAGTTTCGTGAATGCCAACTGTTTTAGACGCAAACGCGTTGGTGGATGTGGTTGCGAAAGCTTAGGTGGGCGGATTGCCACAGCAAAAGCGCTTGCTTTTGATATGTAGTGAGAAGTTAACATGTTCATAAAGGAAAAAGCTATATACTAAATTTCTGATGGTGTCCAAATTTGGTCCTGGAGGCATATGACACCTGACAACCTCCAAATAGTCGTGTATATAAATAACTAAGACTAAGTTTCTCCAGTCTTTTTCTGCTTGTATATGTTAAACTTTAAAGTAATGCCTTAGCTCTGTTTAAATTAGTTCGCCCCTTTGGTTCTACCTGTCCCTCCTTACTTTACATCAGTTAAATATTCCAAGTTATTTCTCTTGGTCAAGTAGTTGTCAACTTGCATGTCGATCTTGCATAGCTCATTCTTCAGGTCAAGGGTCCTATCGAATTCTTACTTAGATACTGTCGATCTTCAGAATACCCATAAGCACTTCAGAAACCCGGACCCTATCTTTAGGAGGCTTCCCGGGTAGTTGCTGGTAACGCCTCCAGGCGCCTGTGCCTGATATGTAAAAACCTCCAATAATGCAGTATCTAGTGTGCTTGATATATGACTTTGTCCTTCTGTGAGCTACAGCTGTGTTGGGGGGGGTTTTGGGGGGGGGTCGGGGGGGGGGCG